GAGACGTTCGTGGAGGGTGGTTGTCCAGAACTCACGTCCCATTGGGGCCCGTAGAGAAAATGACGGCATGTGTAGACGTGTGGAGGTTAACTTAGACACCTATCCAGCCAGTACAGCTGGCCTCGTCATGTCCTGCCAGGCTGCCGGGGCGGAGGGACTGGTACCTGTGCACACCTCCAGCCCTTTGGGATGGGAAGCTGGAGTCTAGACCATCCCAAGGCGTTGCTGCGTGGGAGATGCAGTGCGGGGCCTACAGAGGCGGCAGACAGTGCCTGACGGAGCTCACGGCCTGTGCAGTGCAGGCTCCTCCAGGAACCTCGCCCACTGTGTGCACTGTTGAAATGGAAAAGAGTCACGGGGGCCAAGATGGGAGGGGGGTGGAGAGGGGCCACTACCAGGGGAGCCACAGAAGAGGTGGGACCTCAGTTCAGCCTGGCAGGTGCAGAAGGGACTGAGGGAGGAGTTGTTGACTTGGGGTAAAGACTTGGAAAGTACCCACAGTGTCCAAGGACTAGCAAGTAATGACTTGACAGGAGTGGCCACACGGGGAGGATGAGGAGGGCCATGGAAGGTGGTTGAGGAGTTCATGAAGCCCCAAAATCCTACTGAACTTGCATTTCTGTAGGTAGTGGGGAGCCCTCAGAGCTTCTGGGCTGGCCTGGCAGATTCAGAGCTTGGCCTCTCACTCTCAGGCTTATACCCCCTCACATGCAACTTGACTCCTCAAGCAGGCTGTCCCTTTACAAACTCCTGCCCACCAGCCAGGTCTGGCTGGGGCCACCTCTGGTGTCCTCTGCTAGGTTGGGCCTCCACTAGGCTGACCTCACTGTCTCCTGTCCACTGACAAAGTGGAATCGCAGAAATGGAAGACATATTATGACAGCGGGGGGGGGGGGGGACAAGGGGGGGATGAGGTGTTCCTTGAAATCTCTAAAAATAAATGACCATGAATGGTTTCAATATTGTTGAAGAATGATCGTGAGATACCAAAAGCTACAAAACACCATCCTGGACGGGAACCGCTGGGAGGCAGGGTTTGGTTCCACTTATGAACTTTGTGACTTGTCCTTAGAGGAAGTGAACACCTCATCTCTGGAGATAATCAGGAACCAACTGACTACTTGGAAAGAAAGCTGTGGAGGGGATGGGAGCTGAGCGAGGCCCAGTCCAGGGCTACTACTTGAAGCAATGTGAACTCCCAATGAAGAGCGTGGTGAAAGCGGGCAGTATTCATATTGTATTAAAACAAATCACATATTGCACAAGTGCTGTCATTTAAGATATTTGTAAATAATTTGTCAAACCAGTGAGGAAATTCCTACAAATTCAAATCTGAACGAGGATAAGTGAGGTGGTCCTTATAGCTGTGGATCCCAAGGACGCTACAGTTCCGTGCTGAGGATATTCAAGGAGGCTCCTGTTACTGCCCAACGGCAGCTGGGAATGTTGGCTGCCTCCACCCTGTGACAGGCCCTGGCACGGGGGAAGCACTGCTTTTAAGGCAAGTTCATAACCGCCCGCTCAGCTGAGCCTCTCCACATGGGTGGTTAGGGTCATTACTCCCATTTTACAGACGACGCTCCGAGAAGTAGAGTGATGAGCCTGATGTCACCCGATGGCTTGTTGACCAAAATGCAGTTTTCTGGCTAGCCTTGTCACAGAGCAGACATTTGATGAAAGCTTGGTTTTGTCCTTTAAAGTCCAGCTATTTCTGTTACATGAATTTCAAAACTCTCAAAGCAAGTCTCCCTTTGGGTGGAAGGCAACCCCAAGGTGGCATCAAGTCCCATGGAGCAACCAGGCAAACGATCATCCCAGGCAATAGGGGTCAATGACAGAGGGGCCAAAGGGGCCAGCGACCAGCTGCAGTCACCCTGAAAAGTGGGGCGTGAGCACAGACCTGCTGCTGACAGCCTGCCTCAGGCCTCAGCTCCATCACTAGCTGTGTGACCTTGGGCAAGTCGCTCAACCTGTCTCCATTTTGACATGTGCAGAATTGGGAGAGTAACTTTCACCTCCCAGGGTTGATTTAGGATCAAGGGGTTGTAAAGCATGAAGTCAGTGTCCGGCTCTATAGTCAGTGCCATTTTTACGTGGCCTCTGTGTTTGTGGATTGTGGAGAAAGTCTTGGTCCTCAGGGACAGAGGTGTGGACTCAAATGTACCAATCTTCTCAACATCTGCAATGCTCTCTGCCTTTACAACCCAACTCTGGGTCATTCCCAGGAGAATTAAGTTCCCTTTTCTTGGGATTTCTGCATTGTAACTCTTACACATCCATCCAGCTAGAGTGTCAGAGGTACTTTTGAGGCTTCTTCTACCTTGTATTCTACTCATGTTAGGTTGACTCACATGAAAGTGCCATTTTTAGGCCAACATGATTGGAAATGAGCAGTCATAGGGTCAGCCTCATTAATGCACCGAGTTAGACTGTGAGGGGAGTCAGCTTGGCATTTCCCTCACTCTACTGCTGCCCTGCCCACTAAAGGCCTGAGATACTTTAACACAGTACTGCTTCAAAACACACGCAGGACTTCTGATCAAACCAGGATGCTGAACCTTCAGAACTGAGGCACAAACCCTGGACAGCGCCCCCACCCACCCACAGGAGCGGCTCCCTGCAGGGACCTGCTCGTTTGGCCTTCTGTCTCTGTCACTCTTTCTGGCAAACCAGGCTGTCTGAGTTTCCTTGGCAACATCTGGATCTGAGGGATCTAAGGAGCACAGGGATGTCCGGGGCTGCCCACAGCCCACTCACAGCTCCATCTGTCCTGAGACAGGTGAGAAAACGCCCTGTGGTTGCCTACCAAGTTACCCCGTGATTTTTCCCAATATCCCGAAAAATGAAAAAGTACTAGTATCTCCTAGGCTGAAAGGCGGTCCAGAAGGGCTAGACATTTGTCTGGAGGGCAGAGGACAGGAAACAAGACCTGGGCCCAAGTCTTGTAAGTCACTGTGGGGGATTTTGAGCAATCCTTTCCTTCAGGACTTTAGGCTCCCCAAAGGCATAATGGGGTCAGGCTTGGTTATCTACAAGGGCCTCCCGACTCAGCTATTCTGGATTCAGTGACAGCCAGCAACTGGTCATTGACTCACCACCTGAACTTTTCATAGCGGGAAGTTTGCAGGGCTTAGCTGCTGTCAGAAAGCTTCCAATATCATTGAAGAGATAAGATCGATTTGTGACTGTAGTAGTAACAGAGATTCACATGGCTTGGGGAGACTTCCAGGAGCAGTTAATATGCCCGGGGAGACTGAGCCGGGCAAAGGGAAGAAGAAGGGGCTTTCCTGTATAAAGGCCTGTGTGGTGGGGTGGCAGGGAGGCTAACAGCAAAGGCAAAGGTGCCCAGGTAGGACTGTGTGACACTGAGTTCTGATCCCAGGGTCCCCGAGCAGTAGGAACCTGTGCAGGGTGAGGTCCAACGAGCAGACTAGAAAACCCTTGAATGCTAGGGGAGAGTGCTTGTTCCCCGTCCTCTTTAGGGAGCTCCAAGATCTGAGGGAGGGAGGAGGAGGACGGAAGCCGATGCAGTCCGGCGGTGCCGACTCTTCAGATGCTCCAAGGGTGGGTGACGTGGCCGATCCAGAGAAGACCTGGACAGAGCCCAGGGACAGTGAAGGGGCAGGATAACTGGGGACTCTGGCACTCCACTCATTACAAATTTTCTTGTTCACTTACTATGTGCCAGGCATGCCCCAAGGTGCTGTATGAAGGAGAAGCTTCCACGGCCGAGGACAATGTACTCTGACCAAGTCAAGATGCTCACAGCTCGGTGTCCAGTGTCCCCTCCAGGAACCCGAACCGGAAGCACTGCGGTTTAAGTGCTCTGGTGGGCGGCCCATGAGACAGGAGCAGCACACGTGTTGCTCAGGCCATGTCTGCAACGGGCCTGAGAGGCACTTTTCAAAGCACCACTGGTCGAGGACAGGGTGGCCAGGAGTCAGAGAGGAGGCTGGAGACCAGGCCCTTCCGGGTCAGGGGAGCCCAAGGCTGCCACTCCGGTCCCGGCCGCTAGGGGAGCCGGGGGATGCTGATGGCGCCTTCCCAGAGCCGCAGGGCCGGGTAGAGCGGCTCCTGGAAGGCGGCGCGGAAGCTGTGCAGGTGCGTCATGCCGCCCGTCACGTCGTAGAAGGCCAGCACGCCGGCCTCGAAATCCAGGAAGACGCCCAGCCGGTCGGGGTCGTCGCGGGGCCGCAGGCGGCAGCGCTGCCCGTCGTGGAAGGCCCAGTACTCGAGGTCGTAGCGCTTGAGGCACCAGGACTGGCGGTTACAGCCCAGGCGGGCGGCCGCCGACGAGCCGCAGCGCCGCAGGGAGGCGTAGGCCGCGCCCACCCACCAGCCGGCGCCGGCCTCCTGCACGTCCACCTCCCAGTAGTGGCGGCCGGCGGCGAAGCCGTCCCGGTCCAGCACCTGCCACAGCGCGTCGAAGCGCACCGCGGGCGCGGGCCCCAGGCGGCCCAACAGTCCGCAACGAACAGTTAAGCGGTCGGCTGACAGGCGCAGGCGCGCGTGCATCGTGTCCGGCTCCAGAGTGGGCGTGCGCGCATCTGCAGGGGCGGGGAAACGAGCGGCACGCCTGGTGGGCGGGGCTAGCGCCGGGGCGCCCCGCCCCCGGGGGCCGAGGGGGAGCGCCAGTCCCGCTGGTGGTGGGAGTAAAACCGAACAAAACTCACTAACGGAACCAACTCACTACCATTGAATCCATTCTGACTCATAACGACCCCGTTGGGGTTTATGAGGCGGTAAATTTTTATGGAAGTAGATTGCCCAGTCTTCCTTCCCTGGAGTGGCTGGTGGTTTTGAACCACCAGACTTCTGGCTAGCAGTCTAATGTCACAGGCACTAGGCCACCAGAGCTCCTTGTATTCAGAGTAGAAAATGGGAAAACACAAAACGCTCCAAAAGCCATCCTGATGGCTCTGGAGAGGTGGCAGGAAGACATGGGAAGGAGAGAAAGTTTACTGTACATCTTTTATACCCTTTGAATGTTGTACCATAGGAATTTATTGCCAATTTCTAAAAATTTAATTAAAAACAACTAAACAAAATCCTATCACCGCTAACATTTAAGTATGTGTCCTTCCAGTTGTTTTTTTTCCCCTTACTTGGCACTCTATTTTTCTTAAGTTTGGCATCACACCATACGTGCTCTGGGGTAATCAGCTTCTTAAGTTTACTAATGTGTTATGAGCATACTATACCAACCAGAACATTATAATGATGACCCTAAGACTGTGCTATTTGAAAGCATTACAATGTAACCTATCCCATAACTTTCTGTGTTTATGCGTTAAAAAATGTTTTCATTGTATAAAATACATACAGCAAAGCATTTGCTATTTTAGCCACTTTTAATAGGTCTTTTTTTAAAAGCTTTAGAAAATACTAATATGATCCACTATGACTTTCTCCAATTACTTCTTTGGGAAATATTCCTAAAGAAGGCATTGCTGGGACGACAGGTATGCTGCTTTTTTGCCAAATTGTGCTCCAGAAAGGTAGTAGTGACTTAAACTCTTATCAACAGTGCTCTTTGCATTGTTCCATGTATGAAGAACTGAAGTTTAAAAATTAAAAGTCTGGGCCATAGGGTGTGTGGATGATAAGCTTAGTAGATACAAGGTAAATTCATGTTACCCAGATACATGTCAACACTCAGTATTACCAGCTTTTGAAATTTTAGCCATTCTGAAGGGTGAGTAGTGCTGTATCATGGAGGTTTTAATTTGCATTTCCTTTCATATCTTTATTGCTCATTTTTATATCTTGTGAAGGATTTGGGGGCAATTATTTTATTGAT